TTTAACTGGAAGCTCTGCTAACCTAGGATATTATATTAACTGAACATGGTGTGTCGTCCTCCTATGGCTTTTTGACTAGTCGACAACAAATGCATTTTCATGTTACTGTACGGATATAAGAAATAAATTCAAGTCCACCGAGCGCCACTAAGCTTTCCTCTATCTATATTTTTCATTCACACCCTAAGCTATGAGCAGGTAGATCGTTTGGAATATTGAAAGTGGAGATTTCGGTTCAAAGAACTTGTTAGCCTGTTTTATATGCTTTTTTAAGATGCGCTGGTGAGTAACTGTTTAAAGTTCACACGACTCGATATTTTTAGTATGGCTGTTGTCATCAACTCACTCACTTTATCCTGGATATTTCCCAAGATTGGATTTATTCAAACCGGATCTGGGTTGCGATGATTTAATCACGGGCAGAATGGAACTATATGATATGCCGTTTTTAACTAGAGGACAGTAACGGATAACATTAATACATAACTTTTAAACATGTGGAACCAATGGTAGAGGATTGAGGCATTCTATTGTTTTCTATTGGCAGTAGCGCTCCATACATGATAACTTTCGTGTTTTGGGTAGCTTCGAACTCTATCCCAGTGAGAATTACCGTCTTTTGGGTAACATAGAATATACTGGCATCCCCAATGTGTAAACATGCTTTACTTTTCTTTATAAAGTTGGCATATTGAGAGTGATTGAGTTGTTCGCAGGCTTGACGTGGCCGCATATGCGATAATGTTCCAAGTCAACTCTTCCTGAGAAAAATTCATGAACAATTTTGGCTTGGTTTCTCAGATGTCATTAGAATCCGTATGTATGTTTAGCAATAGTTTCCCTGGTTCAGCGTTGCCACGATTTTGCAAAACCATGGACAACCGAGTTTCATCCTACAACCTCGGACGTCGGGGCAAACGACGCCTGCTACTTTGGATGTGACCGCGCTCTCAATGAACAGTCCCGCCGGGTGTTAGTCCGGAGGGCATTCTGGTCCATATCATTACTCTGTACGAAGCATACCGAGTGCTGATTAGGTTCGGACCACATGCTACACATAATGTCAGTTGACGATGTGCTACCACGCTAAGCAAGTGTGTGTATACCTGGTATTATCAACTACAATAGAACCTTCGATGTTAACCACGCATACACCTTGGCTGTTTTCTATTACATTCGCCCTGTAAGTCTGATGGAACCAGACCATCTCTTTTGTTCAGTTCCATGAGTGGTTAAGTTCCGCGGTTTAACTGAATCTAACCACTTAAAAGCACAGGCGCGTTGCGGAAACGAGTGTCAAAGTTCCCTTAGCAGTATTACATCTAACCATATTTGGTCAACTCGTGCGAAAACACCAAAACCGATGTATACATTAGGCACCTTTTGGGGAGAAAAGGCTGTATAACGCGGTTTACTTGGAAGTCGCGTGTCTCAGTTCATTCAGAATGACACCATCCAATGGGTCATACACCACTGTGACGTGTGGTTCACCGTGACTCCGCGGCGTGGGTTCTGGGCTTCCGTTGTTGCGATCACAATTTTTTAGATTCGAATACCACGAAAGTGGTCATCGTTGTGAGGTCTTGAGAGCGATCACATCTGACACTTACTTGTGTTCTCACGGTCATTTTTCGCAAAAGTCAGAGTGTCGCGTGAAATGGCTTCTAGCATTACTGACACACTGTCAATGTCATGGAAGAAATAATTGCAAGACACAAGTCGCTTTGGTGCCAGCAGTCCATGACCACACATGGAACGCCTCATTAACGGGCATGCAATCTCTAGTGCATATGACCTGATATTCCATCTGACTTTGTATGTAAAACACCGAAAAATAACCAGTAAATAGTGCAACTTCACCAAAGTGTGTAATCATGGTACGCGTTGCTTACGTTTTGACGACAATTCGCTCAGAATATCTGGGATTTACACTTACTGTTCATGTTAATTTCCGACGCACAACCAAGGAAAGGAATTTATTCAGGATGTGAGCAAGAATATCTGGTTGGAATCACAGTGAGTTGTCACGTAATTTTCTCACGACCAATACGATGCATTATCTCAATTCCAGACGTAAAGAAATACCCTACGGAAGTGGGGATTCACAGTCAGAGAAAGTTAAGGTAAAGTTGACAGCTGCATCATTAGCGCGAGGAGGTTATTTAAGAAGGCGGGGCCACACAGCTGTCCTCATTATGTAAGAAAATGATTTGTGGATCCAAATTGTTGAGGCCACGCATGATTTCCCGCTTGAACTGCACTCCTTCCGGCTGTTCACGTGAGCACGATTTGTTGTACTCCGTCAATAACCTCTCTGTCACGTCTGGCACCTGCTGCGTTAGCTCATCGTCAGGGAAGAAGCATGGAAATGGGTTGCAAAAGGCTGCTGTCAAGTCACTGATCGGGAGGTGCCACAAACGATTAAAAGGAACCAAGTCGTACCCACTCTCGATGCATAAGTGCCTCATCCAGAAATTTACCTTCCGCTCCTCAGTGTCGAATGATTCGCGTGAATAAACCGCTTTGCTCATCACATTGCTCACGAGTGCCGCGGTAAAGTATCTGTGCAGATAGCTGTAGTAGCTAACTTGTACACCTACATATTCACTACCGCGCCAAGTGGCCAACAGTTGCAGCTCATCATCTGGGCTCCAACCTAGAGAGAATCCTTTCGCGTAGGAAGCAAGCCCAAGCAAGTAATGGTGCAGAATTGGGATGTAGAGGTTGGTGGTCACCTCCCCACCACGCGCGAATGTAATCCTATGCACTTGTAAATTGTGGCCTATCTCATGTATCACACCAATGTACTTTCCACTCTCGATTCTCGATTTATCCAGGAATGCTTTACCCCAGTACCTGTGACCCATCCACGGGTAGCCTGAATGACCATCACCAACCGAGATTTGCTCGTCGGTTACGAATACCTGCAAACGATCTGTTGCGTAGTTCGTGCCGCGGTAATTATGTATCATTTTGATAACATTGTCATGATAGTTAACGCAAACCAGAAGATCTTCGCCACTAATTGCTGTTGCGATGGAAGTGGCGATCATGCTGATCATGTTGTTGCCCACTAGCATCAAATAGGGAACACCACGATGTTTGCGACGCTCAACCTCCCAGTTGTTCCTTGACTTTGGATTCCGAATATCGAACCATGGATAGCGGTAGACGTTCTCGAAGTGGATGGTGATGTTTGCACGCACAGGAATCCAGACCACTATTGGGCCTCCGAATGGTGACGCAAATTCTCCATGCGCTTCCATCTCTCTATCAGATGTGACTGTGAACCATCGTCTTAGTACCGCGTGTCTCACCGTGTCGGTTTGAGGATTAATTCGCAGACGAAAACCCTTGAGACTCCGAGTGGTTACATTGAGAACCTTGTACCGAAATGCGTGTCCAGGTTTCGCGTATCCTCCCATGGGATAGTATCGACCACGTATATTCACGTTGAATGTGACCGAGTAGCATGTGGCGTTTTCGCTCGAATGCACATCACCGGGCGTACGCGATGAACCGGGAATAGGTTCAATTCGTGAGCCAACCTGAAACGTCAATAATCTGTTGTAGTTTTCGAACGCTTGATCTAGCTCTTCATCCCGCTTGTATGGTTGATCTCTGCAAATCGGATGTTCTTTGAAGAATGTACGGTATTGATCAATCAGTTTTCGTAGCATTTCCTGTGCTTCCGGTGATTTTAATTCTTCCGCTTTTACGCTAGAGTAGAGGTTTTCAGTTCGGAATACCTTCCAGCTTTCGGTAGCCAACTTCAGACGGTAGACAAATGGGATAAAAGTCGGCAAATAAATTAAACCTGTGAGCGAAACATTGCGCGGCGCATATTCCTTGCTGTGGTTTGCATAACCGATTTGCAACTTCGCCATAATGCTTGCCGCGGGGCTCGTTGCCAATTCTAACGACCCTGCGTATCCTATCAATGCCGCGTTTTTGCCTGATAGAAGACGATCGTACACCTCGTGCTCATCAAACACTGATGTTCTGGTAATTAGCAGAATGTCCCCATCCCTGGCTTGATCTGTCACATTTACAAATGAAGCATTACGATATTTTGGACTGAGCCAAGAGCGGAAATTTTTCCGCAATGTTGCATACTCTCGCGCTGAAGCCAGTAACTGCATACTTGTGGATCCGGACATCAGGATGATTCGCGCCTTGTCACGTACTACGGCCATTGTGTTGATCTTATTGTGATACCATGCGAGCGCGACATCGTTGTGTTCCAGTGACAACTTGTATTCCCCATAGCTTTGATCTGTCCTCAAGTGACTTTGTCCAGACAGAAGGCTCCGACGGGTTTCCTGTGGACAAGAGATTATGATCGTAGTTTACCTTTCGTAAAAGTAAATAATAATAAAATAAAAGTACCAAAGCATGACAGTTGCGTGATTACACTGTCTTTTTCCGTATACTCGTCGGTCACGTACATGCAACTAACAAGGCATTAAAAACAAGGTCACATGCAAACGATTGACGGCCAAGTTTCCCCTGATTACTGAGCTGCTCGCCACCACGGTAGCCATAGTGTCACGGTCAGCTGTTGTGGCATCGAAAGCATACTTGCCCCGCAATCATAATGTAGTCGGTGTGGATCGATCGGCATGTAAAGGTCGATGCATCTTTCACAGTCATTATGTGCTGTCATACGTTTCACATATTTTGCGCCCTCGATGTCATGGTTATCGCTTTACAGCACCCAACAATGTGCCCAAACACAGTGTCTAAATGAATATGCTACCCAAAGCTGAACAATCACTTTGAAATTGTCTGTAGAAAAATGGTTTTGATCAATCCGCAGGCTGATGAAAGCAATGTTGTATACTTAGGAAGAGCAGTCCCCTCTTGGATATTTCTCTTAGTGTATTAGTACCAACGGTGAAGTATGCCAGTCCTAAGCATTAGCTACTCACCAGTATGACGTCTTGATATCAACTCGTAACCTGCTACAGGGACCGTTGGCATAACTGGGACTATCGGCAGAAAATTGTTGGGATTCAGTTATTGAATGCCGTTTAATACGTCAACTTGAATTCTTGACGAGCATTCCAAGCAGTTTGGGGGCTACGTTAGCTACAGCACCAAGTAATATTATGGTTTTCGGTTTACGAAATCGGCATTATCCTATGACCACAAATGCGAAGTCTTGAACCAAGCCAGTGACAGTTCTGTTCTAGTGCCACTGTCATTGCTTAGTTAACAAGCTCTTGCCCTGATTGTCCACCTTGGAAACAATCTCTTCTCTGCCAGCCGTGTGGTTACTTTTGCCTCCTTCCTAGATTTGCCACTAATCCAAGAAGAACATTAATAGCGAAACCCACCGAGTCCTGCATTTATGCCGTGATCGACATGTATCTTTGGCGCTTAGCGGATTCAGCATTTAGCTCCTATGCGTCCATTTCGGTGTTGGGATGTCTCCCTCAAGGCTATGTACACGATAATTCAAACCAATTAGTTCTTCACAGTGATTTGAAAAGCCAAGCAAGAAGATGAAGCTCGTTGGCAACATGTATTAAGCCTCATTTCGTAAACAAAAATAGCTATAACCAAAAACTATCAATAGGCCAGGCACTGCTACTACTGTCCTAAATTATTTTGTAGTGTCTTTGTTTACTTTAATACTTGAGATTATGGGCTGTTTTAACAGTACCGCTTTTGTTTCAAGCTGCGCAGTTGGGTCCATAGAGCACTGGAAATGATTAAAATCAAGGAAGTCAATTTCAATATAAGATTGTGATACGGTGGAGCCAATAGCTACAAACACGACAAATAATGGTTCAGGAGTGCTGGATGCTCCAATATCGTCATATCAAAGGACTCAACAAATCAGTGGCTATAGGATAATCAAATCTGGCTGCTTCACATCAACCGCAAAGTAATACTTGTTCGTTGAAATGATTCTGCGTGGTGACTGTTGACTCTGTTCGGGGCTTGGTGACATAGAAAGCATAGTTTTATCTTGTTTTTATAATGCATAGGAATACTGAGCATAGGTATAACGACAAAACCTTTGGACTTAGGCTATGAATGCTGGCAACAGCAAGTGAGAACAAGCCAATATGATGCACCTGCGCCAAGGCCTCAACAGGAGAAACAGTCGGTTAGCAACGGCCCGATCACCTGGTCAAAGACCGGTCGTCAAGGTCAAGGTATACACGAGGCGACCAATGAAGTTCTGGAAACAAAATGATGTCACTCACCGATGTCTCGTTCTTCAAAGTATAGGATGTTTGTGACAAATCTCCAAGTTATGGGTTCCATAATTCTTTCTCTACTTCTTGCAACTAACTTACTCAACTTCGAAACGCCATTTACCCATCTAAAACGACCTTTTGGACAATCCCGCGTAGCGTTCTCCAGTACTTACCAAAAATAACCAAAGCATTCTAAGCCGCATAAATTACTCAACGACACTATCTAGCGTCTCGCCCTATACTAACGCCGAAACCCAAGAACCAAAGTTTCCTACAACTATGTTTATGCAAGTCATGGATTGCTTCGCTGTCATTGTCAACAATGTCATATCGGACAGAAGCCAATTGCACGGTCCCACTGACTCTACAATTTATCCAAATGACAACGCTGAGTCAACACTCTTCCGGCTGCATCTACCACCTAGCTCCTCAATTGCACACTTACTCACAATTCTATTAGAGCTCACAATGGATGCATCGTCCCTAACCCAAAACCTACCAGCAACTGGCAACATTGCTTCACCCATAAACCCATCCCTTATGTCCACATATCTCTATCCTCGTTCTCCAGCTAATTTAGAAAAAATCAACGAACAATAGTCTACTATCATAGTTAAAACCTCTGTATCGTTCTTACAGCAGGTACTAGAGCTTACTAGCAAACTATAGTTTAGGCATATTCTACTTACAAATGCACTCTGGCTCGGATACAAAACCAATAAGCTATGAACAAAAATATTACTATCGAACCAACCAGTTTTACTGGTATGTGAAACGGCTGATAGAGAATACTGCTGAATCAATCTACCAAATATCAGGCTACAAAGACTTCCTCGGCTGGACTAGGTGGTGTTTACGACATCTATGTGCAGAATGCTATTCACATGTCGGCACCAAATATTCACAGAAAGGAGCGCTTCGAAGACATCGTTTTTCTAGATGATCAGCTGGATAATCTCATTACCTTCCGCTGTATCTGCATGATATACAGTGCTGCTTTTACTGAGATAAGTGCTCTACAATGCGTGTTATGCCATATCATATGTCATTCTACAAACTACAAGATAATAGGGCGAGAGTGCAACATTCTTTATCTAGCTTGGCGTTTAAACTATGCTTGTTCGACATTTAATGGCTTCGTCTCCTCTGTACAAGAAGGTGGATTGACTTAGCATTTTATGTCTCCCACCAGAAAAATCTTATTTCGGAATTGATCTTTACAATCTATATAAACATTTTTTATTCGGTTCTCTAGCTTAAGGAACAAATTGTTGTCTGACATCTATACCCGCGTATCGGAGTAAAGTTTCTTAGAAAGCTTGACAAATGTTTAACAGTCAGCATTGTAATTACTCTTCTGGACTTCCTTACAACTATTCACCTGGCCCATGACAAAGCTCCAGACAGTACATAAGCGAATGTTTGATATGTACTTGTCAGCAGCTTCAAAAACAGCTATTTAATTTACCTTAAGCTTCCATCTCGCTCTTCATTTCAACCTCCTCCGAAAGCTTACCGCTGACTAGTGGCCCTGGAGCACATCGGTGTGTCTTACAGCCAGGCGTCCTTGTAGCTTCTTTAACCCATCTTGACCCACAGTACTTCTCCTTGCATTTAGTTGACTTCACTGCTACCATGTTTTAGTGGAAGGACTGGGAAATTGGCTAGTTAGGCTTGCAAGTCCTGTTAACCATCTCTCCAACAATAAATTCACTTCCGTTTTATTTGCTTGTACAATATCCATTCGCTTGTGGAATCACCGACACGTTGGTAGGCTGGAAACACAATTCCTCTCATTACGACTTCAACCCACCCTGTTCCTTAATACTTCACTCAGGCTTCACTGGGTTTTATCCATCACTATTAAAAGAGCGGACACATTAACAACGTTGATCTGATTACTCATGACTAGTGATGATTTTGGAGAAATTCAGCTATTTCATCATAGTCACACTTAATCCGTAGGCTCAGGTTAGTCTGGAAAAGCACCAGACGCTGACGTTTCTACCTTCTGGGTCTCGTCAGTGGTGCGCCTTCCAGCGGGCCTCTGCCGAGTTGCGTCCGTAGGACAACCGGATGTCAGCAGCTAGCACCACTTCGCCGTGGGTGGCAGCAGCGGACCGTGTGATTGACAGTTGACTAGGATATAGCCCGGCTCATCATCCACTACCATGCCAGTTACGAAATGTACAGTGGACAGCGGATAGCCTCACGAGCAAGGACTATCCGCAAAGCACCTCGGCACGACTCAAGGACTTGAAAGCTATACGGATAGCTTTTATGTTACTAATGTATAGTGAGGATTTTGGTATAATTCAGCTAATTCATCATCTCGAAGTGGCAGTGGCTGCTGGCATCCAGAAGTCATTGGGGCGTAACCCGGCAGGGGTCCGCTGGAAGGCGCAACACTGAGGGGACCCAGGAGATCCAAACACCGGAGTCTGGTGATTTTCCAGACTAGCCTAAGCATATTGGCTGAGAGTGAACATGGGGAATTAGCATTGATAAGATTGTCACCAAAGGCTAGTTTAGCATGTCTTAAAAACTGTGCATTGATCTTCTTCGAGCCCCATGAGCGATCCAGCCAAATATCCAAACGTTGTCAGCTTATAAAGCTATTGTTCTGTTTTTCCTTGTTATCATATGCAATACAGTGGTTTAAATAATCTGCATTGTGCCTGATAGTCACAATCGCCACTTTTAACATGGAATTACAATTCACTTGCTGAAATATTGCCCGTTGTTCAGTCAGCACTACTCTGTGCTAAAGCTTTCCACTAGCTTACACATTTTGCTTTTAGTATTGTATAGATTAAGCCTATAACACTTTACTGGATCATCTTTAAGACATTTGTATTTGTAAGTTCATTTTTTGTAATCCCTCATGTAATGTTTGAGCTACGGTGTAATTATATTAGTAACGTTTCCCCTATTTACGGCGTTTTGTAGTGCAACTCAGTTGGCAATATATTGTGATGAATATCACTGAAGCAATTCATTTTAGGCGAAAATAACTGATTGACAACTGGAAATATTGGAACCAAAACTTCTCGTAACTGTTAAGCATCCGTCTAGCAGTAACAGCTCTGAATGAAGCATGCACATAATGATCGAACCAGGTTCAATAAACAGTGACTTACCTTTCTGAGAAACACACGGAGTAAAATTAATGCCGATGATTATGGAATTTTTGATTACAAACAATGCCAGTGCATTGAACAGTTAATTTTACGGACATTTGAGAAGTGTGTTGACGGGATTCAACACACGTTGTGTGATCCCTTATTCGACAGATATCTTGAATCCGTGACTAGTGTGCAGATAATTAAATTCGATGGAATTAACTATATTACAGTTAAACATACCTGTAGATTGACAACGAGTCAACAGCTTACTGATATGATCGGAAATAAACCGCTTTGCAATGGTGCTCATGGCATGCCATCAGAAATAAAACGACAAATCTGCAACGTTAAAGTCTGAAATAAACTTTACACTATTTGTCTTGGAGTGCTCTCCGTGTGTCTGGATCGCGATACCCGATCTCGATGGTGGCTACAGTTTGCTTTGAAGCAAGACGACGCCATGTCCATCAGTGGGACCGCAATCCATACGCACAGTAGGTACACTTAGACCCACTGATGAAGTGCTAACCGCTGCGTCAAGCGTTGTTGTGGGGCTCTGGCCTGGTAACCAAGACAAAAGCCATCAGTCACTGTGTTGTGCTCCCCTGTTAACTCAGATTTTCTCTGCCTGATATGCCCAAATTAGGACGAAACCGCTCGGTCGTGGATTGCAGAGTTTGGGGAGAGTAGCTCCGAAACTTTCCACAGATATTGCACTACTGAAACTCAAACGCAAATGCAAGACTCGTTAAAAGTATGCTATCGGGGATAAGGCGCTGATCAAGAACACTGGTTTGTAAATACTCCGTTGTACTACACTAGAAAAATGCGAAAGTTAATGTATTTCAAAGATAACTGCTATTTTGATTGCTACTGCGCTATGCGCGGACTGTTCGAGGAAGCATGTAGGGGGACAGAGATCCGGGATACAGTAAGAAATTTCTCAGCTAATAAGTTTAACATGTGATTGATCCCCAGTATTTGGGATAGGGAGGGTTCAGTTTCGCAATTGACCACCCTCAGTGTTTTAAGCTGTAGTCATCAAATCCAGGCCTAACCAGTAGGCCTCTGTACATCAGGAAGCAACTGAACCGTATTTCGGATTCTTTCAGTCTTCTGCAGTGCGTATTATACTCGATCACTCTGGGGCTACGACACGCAATCCCTCAATTATGCTCAATGGTTAAGCCCAAGGATACAGTAAACACTGCTGGTCAGCCACCATTGGATGGAACGACCGTTTGTTGCATTTTAGGGCACACGTGGCTCCTCTCTGAATGAGCTTACGTGTGGTAAATACACAGGATACCGCTCAGATGCTCATAGCGCTCCATTGCTCTCGGTACCCTGCCAAACTCTTTTTAAACGCAGAAAACCATAAGCTCTAAATTGTGGGACGCCGTTGATGGTGGGGGTGAAGACGACCCAGTCTTCGGTGCGGCAGTAACAGGCAAGTCAATGTGGTGTGAACCGCCACGTATCATATCTAGTAACTTAGTGATGTCAGTTGCGGCCATCTACTCTCCATGGTTGTGTAATCTTGGCCACGGGATGTTAAGAGTAGGGTTGCGGGTAAAGGCCGCACAGGAGTCGCATAAAACGGAATTGCTCACCATTTCAAAAAAATAAATCGAGCAGTTATTTACTTTTCTAGACTTTTAACGACTGTCTGACTATGTGCATACATGAATCACTTTAACCCGTATGCTTAAAATCCTCATGCCGCTCTCCTGTAGTCAGTCTCACTCTGTTTACTCTGTTACGACAAACATGGTAGATGTGATGCTTCATATCTTCCGGATAGAAGTCCAATAAGGAGACGTGCTTTACATAGTATTTGGTATGCATAAGAATCTAAATGGTATTTAAGATTTTGCTCCCTAAATCCCTCAATTATTAAATTTTTCTTTAATGAAAGACTTCTAGGGTTTCATATATGATGGTATACCTTTCCCTTTGACATTAACTCCGAAATCTTAGCCTTCGCAACGTACCATGTACGCTTGTAAAGTTAAATGAATCCATATCCAAACGATTTCCTTCCTCTTTGTAGCTGTTCACACGCCAAAATCATCCGCTTTTACCAGTTACATCAAATACAAAGGGATAGTGAGTTGCTTCCAGACACCGAGCTTATGGTCACCGTATTGATGCACGAATTGAACCGTCGTACTTGGAAATAGCCTCAGTTAGCACAGAAGATTGTATACAACGAGATATAGGGTGATATTGTGCTTGCTATCTGAAATGTTATTCTGAAGTTTTCGTGACAGATTGTTGGAACGCTATATTCCGCGTATCAATGCGAAAATTCGCTCACCGAGTCACTTATAATCGATCGATTGCAAAACGAGGTGATTTCAAATAGCTGCCACATGGTTGCTTAACTCCATTCAGCAACAGATGTTTGTGATTGCTTACTATGGAGTGATCAGTGATATTTTGTCTGAGTGTGTGTGGGTGGGAGAGAGGTTCGTTATGCAAGGGAAAAATTGCCTAATCTTTATACCTGCAAACTTTCCGAGTCACGTTTTTCAGGCATTCAGATTTTCGTGACGTGCCTATTTGTCTGCGGATAATCACCGAGAAGAGTTAATGAACTTAAAAAGGCACAACTATTTCCTGTTTTGTTTTACAAATACTGGGAGGTAAACAATGCGTCCAGTTTCTGTGATGAGCGTTATAGTCCTGACAACCTAAGAAGTTGTTATAAACTGCAAAACCCAAGAGACTCACTTCAAATTAAAAGTCTATCTATGGATCTGCACACAGTGCCCCAAAGATACCCTTCCAGAGACAGCGAGCATACGTTCATCATGCTCAATTCTAGTGTCTACTAGGAACACAAAGTGTTTTCAGCGAGCATTGTGGTTATCCAAGCGTGTCAGATGCACCGCTGCGTTATCGCACAATTTTATTCGCACCCAGTCGTAAATGTCAAACGATATATCTGACCTTTATTGGTGTCCTTTTTTCTTTCGAGGTTTATCGAAGAAGAGTTCTGGGAAATTGCCGAACAGACCAGTGTGTTAAGTAAGACAACCATTTAATACACACTTACTGTGTGCAGGTTAGGGATATCAGGTCCATCCTCTGGAACTTTGGGTACATAACCATCTGCAATTTTCTCACCAAACGCCCTCAACTCGCCCATGGTAATACCGTCGATGGTGTCGAAGAAGTTCACTTGGTCCGACAAAACGATTATGTACCGCGCTTCTACTGGACCTGGGATTATTAACTGCTGTCCATTCTTCTTGAATTTCAGCCGTCTTTTCATTACATGCCAAGGATACAGCGCACCGATGTCGCACCCAGTTGTATAGGTATCCCACGTGTACACCGAAAAAGAATGATTCAATCCCGCCTTGGCTGTATTGTGAGATAAGAACGCAAAAATGATAGGCAGAGATAATATAAAATTGTAGTGGCAACTTCAACATGTTCAGTACAGATATCACTTGCCGTTGCAAGTAGAAAATCCTAGGTAACACCTCCCCAAGGGATTTTATTGCAAACACCACTCACAAATGACCATACAGCTTTAGTCGATCGGGCATACTGAGGAAGAGTGCACCATTTATCATCCAGTTAAAAGCCAAAACCCATACAGTGTGACCGATATATCTCGACCGATTGCAGTAATTCAGCCACCACTGGTACCAAACAATGACGCATCAGTCGCGTGTACACGAAACCAGATCGGCACTAAATTTGTCCAGCTATCGAATCGGCAATTTGCTTTAGACGGCAAATGTGCGCACGCATACCTCTTTCCATTGGTGCGCACAAAATCGCGTGCAGACCATGGATTCTTTTTGCATCCTTTAAGGTTTCGATGGCCATGCGACCCCAAATCCTCAGCATGACAGTTCGTCGAGAGGTAAGGAACAGACAGACCACCGGTTAGCCTGTCAAATCGTCACTAGTTTTGTCGCGCTGGAGCGCAGTCTATCATTCTTTTCGTCTAGGTAAGCAAGAGCACCGTAAGCTTACCTGGCAATGAGTGCAGACGGGAATCAAAAGTTGTCTAAACATGAGTGAAAGACAGCCCGAAGATTAGAGTGTTTAACGATTGATAGGGTCGTGTTCAACAGCCGTAGTTTGACGATTGGTCAGTGGCGCAAGAAAAGTGATGCGATTCTTACCATGTTATTATTTGATCACTGTCTTAACAATGGAGCGCGAGCATACACACCCGTCGGCGACTTATAGTTCACCCGAATTACGCTACGTGACTGATGAGTAGCGCATGCTTAATATTCGGCTGTATGGTGAAGGCGGGTCAAACGCTGCAAAAAATATTTGGACGATACAATGCTATCAACAATGGAATCCGGTTCATCAATGGCCGTTACGTTCTTAAACTGGTCAAAATGCTTAATAAAACTGGTGTGTGCAACGCTAGATATATCTGGCTGTCTCGCATCGCCACGGATGACGTTTCAGCTTGTGCTGTTATCCGTGAAGTGTCAAAAAGAACCAGGCCAACATACGTACAATCGCGCAGCATTTTGCTATTACCTGATACGCTATTCAAAGGGATTTTTAAGAAGGAAATTTTGGTAGCTTTGAGATACTACAGGTTCAGGTTTTGTATCCCAACTCTTTGAAATACGGAATATACTTTGCCGTTTATTTTTGGATCATATGAAGATTTACTTCATAATTGTTTTGACTAAGAAATTTTTATTTGCGTTGAGAATAAAAACAGTATTTTTGGGATACATATAACCAACGCCGCTACGGAGGTTCGTGTATACAACAATAAGCAAAGCCCATGATGTGGACTGGAATAATTAGGCAGAAAAATTTGGGACCATTTTTATTTTCCGTGAATGTGCCCAGTACCTTCTTGTTTTGTACTACTCATCCCTTACTTCTCCTAGCATTGTGATAGAAAGAAATGCTCCAAACCTGTGAATATCCACAGACAGATGCAGGCGGGTCATTCAATATCATTTGTTGGTAACACAATGGTGCATCTACACATTACCATGGAGCTTCTGGATGAACGCCGGTCATGTACTCGGTGGTATATTATACAACGCAGCCTACACAGAAATGTTGCTATAATCTAGTCCTTGGTAAACTGACACTGTGATGTAATAACAGAGTTTCGTGTGGTTGAGGCACAAGATCAAGATGTGGTACACTGAGACGAATAACCGGGTAAGGATAGCATAGGCAAAGCGGCTGCTAATACTCTTAAGACGTCATAGGTTTTAAGGAAATAGAAGTTCCCAGTAATATTGGCTGACTACTGCAACGAACCTTGTGAGTTAAAAGAAAAGCGGACAAATACTCATCCACCATGTTGAGGTTACTCCTCCTTTGCAACTGCTGTGTTCTTTCTGAAAGTGTTTTGTTGAAATCCAGTTTCCAAGCTACAATAACGCTGGTTATAACTATGTATTTACTTTATTTTAATAGAAATAATCGCCCATCGAACATGCAATTAGCTGGTCCAGGATTGACTATTATTAATGTGGCTTAAAAATTAAGCCCGCTTACTACACGAAACCTCGTTTTGCACGGCAACACACAACGTATAGTAACAATCCCTCTACGTGTAAACAACTTTCGACATCCGTCCGCACTCATTGCCAGGTAAGCTTACAGTGTGCTCTTTCTTCCCTAGACGAAAAGTATGATAGACTGCGCTCCAGCGCGACAAAACTAGTGACGATTTGACAGGCTAACCGGTGGTCTGTCTGTTCCTTACCTCTCGACGAACTGTCATGCTGAGGATTTGGGGTCGCATGGCCATCGAAACCTTAAAGGATGCAAAAAGAATCCATGGTCTGCACGCGATTTTGTGCGCACCAATGGAAAGAGGCATGCGTGCGCACATTTGTCGTCCAACCTAAAATGCCGATTGGATGTCGGACACACTGTGAGTATCACGCAATAGGGTTCCTGAATTTATAGCTACAAGTGAGAATTTCTTCATAGACAAATCGAGAGTATCCTTCGGACTGAGAATTGACTACTCAAGCAATTACTCGCCTTTTTCTTTACACTGCAGCTGCTCAGGGTTTGTAGTCCCAGGCCTTTAATACTTCATCATTTTCACATGAATGTAAGCAAAAATCTTTTTTGTAAAGTATGGTCCTTATTCGATAGACAGAACAGCACTTGTGCATTTAGTATGACACTGTTTTATCAAGGCTTCCTATGTTAAAGTTTCTAGATATGCCGAAATGAAAATTCAATGAAATAATGGAGGTGAGCCAAGGTCATTTTCAACCAATCATGTGAGCATCTGTGTTCACGAATCAACATTCAACTGCACACGTGACACCCTTCTCTTCCCTGGTAAAGACTGCGGCCTCCGTTTTTGATACCGAGCAACTGGCTTAGACGTGCGTTTTGAGCCTCATTACTTAGGGTTGTTCCGCATTAGTTTGCGGTCCCTGGTTTTGTGAATCAGCTTCTCCATCCATTTTTGTGTGTCAGTAGCAGTCGAATTTTGCTCCCGCACATGCTGTGCAGGTAAGTGTGACCAGACATATTCAAAACGGAGGCACACCACACAACCGTCCTCCAGCTGTAGCTTCGCTTGTTTATCCATTATGGATGTGAATATAGCAGGTTGCCAGCTTACTTCTAAAACAGTCTTGTGTATATCCGACCAAAATTTTTGAGATACATTTCCTCTGGCATTTGATCATCCCCACACATCTCCTCCTTTGTCTCCATTCGCCTGTTAGGGTACGGAAAAAATAGGTTCAGTCTCGTTCGTAGTGACCGACCGAACATTAACCCCGAGCGACTTTCCTGTCTACTCATTCGGTGTCGTACAGTAAGAGAACAAAATACGATCCAACTTAGTTTGCAGAGTTCCGTGAGACTGCTTGAGGAGACCCTGCGTACCAGTCTGGACTGAACGTTCTTCCATTCCATTCGACACAAGATTGTACGCGCAGACTTGATATGCTGTATTCCGTTGTTATTCAGGAACTGTTGAGATCTTCGCTTGTAAATAGTGTTCCGTTTTCTGCGCATACCGTCTCTGAGATAACGAAAATGTGCGAATAAGGAGCGCATTTTTGCAACTGTTGCTGCGGAAGTCGCATGTGGAATTAAATGTACTTCTATCCATTTGAACGGGCATCAAGTAAAAGTAGACACATCATTTCAGTGTTTGGGCAAAGCTAGTCTGCGTGTACCCGCTGTCAGGGCCTCTCCGGCAAGCGCCATGGACGTTTCAGTCCGGGAGATATTTGTCTTGGGTATTTTCGACATCGTTCGCAATTTTTCTGCATCAGCTCTAAATCCTGGTCGATGTTTGGCGAACCCTGAAATATACAGCCGTCGTAGAGCCTGAACTCCTTATTTCGAAAGACGAATGGTTTCAGTTCGTCCAACTTGTTATTACGCCATCCGGTCAACAAGAACCGTTACAACATCGACGACACAGGGTCCCGGTCCGTCAGCCGCTGCACCTCGTCACTCCGGATGGGTGTCCTTCCAATGTGTTTCATCAGATTGAAAAACTGCATCAGTTCACTGTTCGTTGCTGTACCACGCTGATACGGGTAGCAACTAAGTGCATCGGCAATGGTATTACATAGCCCGTTTACATACTAAACTTTCTAGTTGTAGGCGCCCAAAAGTAGTGCACATCTTTATATTCGAGGCGAAGAGATCAGTTGGATTCTAGTTTTCTCAGCCAGAAATGAAAGAAGTGGTTTCTGCTCAGTGTGGATGTCGAACTATCTTCCCCAGACTTACTAGTGAGAATGTTTGACTCCGAAAATAATTGCTAAGACCTCTCTGTCCAGTTGGTAGTAATTCCTTTCGACAGGTTGCAGAGAGTGAGAAGCGAAAGAGAATGGACGAAGCGAACCTTCGTCAATCCGGTGGCGAAGGAGTGCGCCTACTCCGAGTGGGGAAGCATTACACAGCAGCACTTAAGGCCGGCTCGGATCGAACTGCACGAGATACGGGGAGGCACTGAGCACTGCTTTTGCATTTGTGGTATTTCTTTCATTTGCACTTCAAGTCCAGGACCTCCCCTTTCGCAACATTTCGTATAAAGGTGCAAATACTGTTGATGCGTTAGGTAAGAAGCGACGCTAGTGAGAAAACATCCCTAAAAGTGACTTGGAGTTTAGCTTCACTCTTCGGTTCATGTGCTAGACGAACGGACTTGACTTTCCCTCGAACACGTATAATCCGTATTCATCGAGGCGGTAACCCAGGTAAGGAACGGAAATTGAGAAAAAGATGCTCGTGTACTTCTTCAATTTGAGTCCACTCAGTTGTAGACGTACATGCAGTGGAAAGGGTTCCTATAATTTAGTCACCCATAACTGTTGTAATTAGAGTGTCGTCAAGATAAGTGTAAGTGTGAGGAAAATCTTTTATCAGGTTGTCAATAATACTTTGTAATCTCGCCGAGACAGAACTGGTTCTGAAGGGCAGAAGCTTGTACTGGAATAGACCCATGTGAGTACCTGTCGTAGTGTATAAGCGAGATGTCCCGTCTAACGCAATTTGTAAGTACGCGTGACTGAAGTCGTTCTGTGTGAACAGTTTTCCGCCTGCCAGCGTAGCATACAGATCCTCTAGGCGACCTAAGGGATAGTTATCCAAAAGTAAACAACGAGTAAGCTACAGAGGAGTAGTTGGGGAAGTTGTATAGCATAGGTAGAAATTCATTACATCTCGACTCAATCAGCCAGTCATCACATGCCCGGAAAAGCTCTGGACGCGCGTGCCATTCTTTCGGGAATCGTCAGCAGTGTGCATTCTATCGGACCCCTGGTAGCGCTCAAACCCCGCAACTCGACTGTTTCTAGTCCTTGGTTCAGATCACTGAGCAAGTGGGGGGGGGCGGCAACGATCCTCGTGAATAATTTAGTAGATGTGATATAGCACCGCTCACTATCCACTGACTTGTACGTTACCGCGTTGCAGAGGACAAGGTAGCCTCCTCACCAAGCGACGAAAAAGGTCCTGTGGGATTCGAAGCCAATAAACGACAAGTAGTTTTGCAATTTGCAGTTACGATCCTTCATTGATCGACTCTTAAGCTTAAATCCAGAGCGCAACAGCAGGATGAAAGCAGTCCCCAATCTACATCAGCGAACGATAGCAAAAGTACTTGGCTCCACAATTTACTGGAAAAGCTAACAACGAATTGTATCCGTTGTGTTCTGGCTACACCTTACACGTTCAGATGAGGCGCAGTCCTCTGGAGATTTGTTTGGAAGGTCCGAAAACCTTACTACCGCACACTTGAACCGGACGTGCCCATTGAGCTCAAATACTGAGATACAACTGATCTACAATAGCTGGAGACTTTGAAGGAGTTTATCTGAGTGTGTCACACCCTCGTAGAAAGTTGCCAAGGTGCAACTAATTACTACCACCTATCTACGAAACGCTGCTCGCGCCAGTGTTACGGGATATGTAAATTGAAATCGTCTACACCATTGGGTACTCGGAGAATCTTCACCTTTGTGCTATGCAAACCTACAGATCAAGCTACTTCTAGGTCACGGATGCACAAGGATGGACTTTCTAGTGGATCGACAGCAGGATTAAACGTCACAACTGGAGAAAAGTATTTATGATGAGGGACTCCCTGTACTTAGCCAAATTTGAAAAAAATACAGAGGACACAGCAAATTCGGCCGTTTGTAAAGGGCTGCGAATGGGTGGTTTCTGATTTGAATTAAATCACTCAACTCCGTAACATGCAAACGCAACAGTTGGTGCAACTAAGTTGTCGTGCTCTCACAAACCATTGTGTCAAAGGGTTTACGAATACTGAACACGGAATACGGAATACTGACCTTGATAGAGAGAGAGAAGACATGGTTATGGTTGCTCTATCTATATATAAGGTGAAAAGTTCGAATAGTGAGGAGGTTACTTTTCGATTATTCTCTTCTGGCCATTACAGTAATAAGCTGCTCTCAGCTATGCTGGGGACATCTAAGCCAAGAGTTTGAAGGGGGTCACTGGGTTAGATGGATGTCTAGGTCGATTCACTTACGGTTGGCTTTGCAACCGATTGTACACCGCCTAAGGTAGGCCTCTCAGCCGATAGTAAGCAGTTAGTGTCCAATCTCGAGTAACTGCAGCGTGGCCAGCGTAGGAGGAGCACTTGTACAAAGGCTTGTTGCACGCAAAGCTCACGTTGACTCAGTCTGATGGAAACTGCTTCAGCTATCTGCAAGAGACGATATATAAGGGCGTGCACGCGGAATAGCGTCGCTTATTTCCTCGCAGTTCGGCTGTGAGACAAGCTTAGTCCAGATACGATGCGTCCTCGGATCATGTCGTGCCAAAATTGAGCGGCTAGGAATTTCTTGAATTCCAACACTGGTTTTTTTCGACTACTTTCTCGGGCACATTTTTCTTTTACTTCACAACTGGACGATCGAAGTATACACTGTGGGCTATCCGCTAGAAGTCCCGTACCACAAGCTTGTTCTGGAGTCATTTAGTGCTGATCGGTGTGCGCAAATATTGATCACATCTTTAAGTCAATCGTTAGCGTACCGTTGCTTATCAAGTGGATTACACCTTGACAGTTGAGAGGCAGCTTCAGAGGAAAAAATTGTTTGATTCTGATTGCGCAGAATTAAAAGCCAAAAAGATAATTCTCAATACCTTTCTCTGCCCTTACAAAAATAATAAACAATAAAATGGATATGGGGAATGGGTAATAAGTGGAAATTAATGAATTCTTTGCACTTAGCTGTTTTAACAAGATACAGTCAACTGGTGTCTAGGTTTATGCACTAGAATACAAATTCGGTCATTTGAAATATAATCTCTGGAACTAAACCAACAGCGATAATGTATGATACATGGAGTTGCGCCAGAATCTAAGTCCTACATTCCCACTAAATCTTGGACGATGTTACTAGAACGCTTTTTAAGTATCCGGATCCTCATTGCGATCAGGTATGATAATGGCACGTTTTACCGTAGAACAAAATTGGCTAAATTTGCTCAGGCAAACGGTGCATGATAATGAACTGAGTACTATGGGTCTACGTTGAACGGTTGGTCAGCTGCATCGCTGCTAGCGTAAACTATGCACAACTTTTTATATGGAACCCAACATAGATTGTTCTGTTAGCAGTTCGCATGAGACTGACTGATTGTCAGCTAGCATTTCAATTGACTTGCGTATGTTTAAACCAAATTGCTTGTATTACGAAATATGTTCCCGAAAATATTAGTCGGTATTCAGCAATGAGCAAGTAGATTAGATTAACTCAATATTTAAACGGTTGCACTTACCAAAGTTTCCATCGGTCGTTGAATGCACCCGAACAGAGCTCAGAATGTACGAGTCCAATAGGTCCACGTAAAACAAGGGTAGTTCATCCGGTTGTGGACTGATGACAGTCCAGTATTTACCGTCTACCAGTGCACTGGGCCACTTTGCCTTCCCATACACCGGCTTTTGAAAGGCAATGTTCTCGCCTTCATCCTGCGCACCGACTGAAACAAATACTTGTAACTGTATGTGTCTTCGTGACTGTTAGATAAACACTGTATACATGTTACGCATTACACCGCACCGGTGAGTAGAACCAACTTGTTTGTCACATGAATGAAAATGTTGGACAAATTAGCTGGCTGAACTGGATTCAGCGTTTACACTTAGATTTGTACAAAAGTAAAGGATCGCAAAGTACGGATTTTAGATGCTCCAGTTTTAGCATACTGCCAAATTGCACTACGGTCTCCTCTACACAGGATTTAGCGCTTTGTGTGTCAGGTTGTAGTGTGTGAGAATAAAGAACGGAACGCTGACGATGCATCATATATTATCTTGATAGGTGCAAAACGATCTCACGTCTACGTACGGTTACACTTACTCCGGCAAAGGTCATTAAGTAGTGGGAGGAAAAATCTCAAAAGTATCATGCCTGTGTGTTTAAGCATAATGGCTTAATACATCATATGATAAAACAGACATTCTCTCCTCACATTTATAGTTTTAGTGGACCCATCAAAATCCAAATAACTACCAATCCGAACGAGCATCTACTAGAGCTTATTCACTGGTCTGTTGGCTATGGTCGAAAAGGACCTTGAAAATGATGATTGAAGTAGGTGCACTATTGTCAATAGAGCAGTGTATGTGCATACTGGTTCAGTAAGTTGATGCTGATTCGGAAGACAATTTGATTTATATGGCTGCAAGCGCTTGTCAAGAAAAATTGAAAAAAATATTCACGGTACCAAATTATGTCAATATTTGTGGGTTGCTCATTAATTCGATTTACCTTACAGTCTAGATTATTTGTTAGCTGATCCCAAGTCCTGCTTTGTGAGTGGAAGTCACCTGCGCAATTCCATCAGATTCTAATTGACCAAGCCATCTCCTCGTCTTTCCCCGTACACCGTTTGTTCAGAGGTTTGCATCAAACATTATGATGGCCTTATTTTCTGTCATGTATCGCAAAGTTTTGTAATAGTCCTCCATTGATCACAAAATGTTTTGACTTTATGATTCTCTTGTTTGCAACTTTTCAACACATTAAAATAAAACATGTAGAAACTGTAGTTCCGTCGCTTCTGCGATGCTTGTGGCTTATCTCGGATAACGACTAACCATTCTCAGCTTTTGCAGTTATAATCTTAGTGGGTGTTGTGATTCGATTGAACGAGTGCACAAGCAATGGTCAATTTCCCAATCGCAGCAGCTTCAGTTTGGTGACCAGTAGGAACGAACAATTGACTGTAAGTGGTTAGCTACATTTTGCGCTCAGTAACACACCACATCCGATTTCCGCTTTGCTTATTTTCTTGTCAGGTAGCGATAAAAGAAGTATGGCTGTAACACTGGAACTAGAGCTTACTGGTAAACGTTCTTAAATCTACGCCATCCAGATCTGCTGGTGAAGTGTGATTAAAGCAGGTGATATTCAACCTTTACCATTTTTAGTGAAGTCTTATTGACTGGAACGATTAAGACTCGCTCAATGTATTCACTCAAATGTTCTCACAAACAAACAAGTTATAACAAGGCAACTTCTCCTTTGACTATGTGTCTAGCGTACAACTATACTATCCTTATAGCGACCAGCATGAGCTTGCTCGGACTCTGGCTTGTTAGACACATTTCCTTCGGGTTGCTCCTTGTCGATGTGCAGAAATTTATTGTGCTTCTTTGATCAACTTGTTAGCATGTAGTAACAACCGTTGGTTATGAACTACAAAGCTAACAATTTCCAGCCTGCACTTAGTGATTCCACAGATATTGAACTGATTATGCATTACGGTCTCCGCAGCTCTGTCGAAGTCTGCCTCCGGAAACTGCGACCTTTTTCAATGCTTTTGATGTGTTCTCGCGAAGTATTTCTCGGTGGACTAGTAATCTGTATCGTTGGATCTTCTATTTTTAAATCGTTTTGAGCCTAGTGAATGTTATTGAACACACAAATGTGTGTCTCTTAAATTAAATGTGAAAAGGTTAATATATTATTTTTGTGGACTTTCCGTAGCCAGGAAAACGTTTGCTTTGTTTTCAAACACAAGTTATATTGACGAAGGTGTAGTAATCAAATTCATAAATCTCTTATAGTATCATTTATATGTGAAATGTCATACCGCAGCAATCTACTCATCGTAACAGTAAGGTTGCAATTTCTGGTACTCAAGCGAGAGTAGAGTAAGCCAATGGTCGCTATAACCATGCGGCTGATAGCAGGTTAGGGAATGTCAAGTGATGTTGATTTCTGCGAAATACTTAAGCAGCTTTGTCTACAAACACTAGGTGTATCGAAGCTTAGGTTTGTACAAAAATTTTGTAAAGCGGTCGGTAAACATAGATTATTCAAACCAGAGATTTAACGGGGAAATTTTTTATACGCGGAAAAATTAACACGGCTTGAGAGGTGAAAAAATTCATGGCAGGTTGCACATTGAGCCACAACCATTGGGGAGAAACCCTCCTAAAAACAAGATGGAACAAAAATGGATGCAACCAACTCCAGCAGATTGTAGACCAAATAATTGGTTAGAATATTGATACTAATGACCTTGAAAATATATACTCGATTTCACGAAGTGCGCCTCTTCCACTTGAGCAACAGTTTTACCATGGACTTTCAACAAGTGTTGCGCAATATGACCCAATGAGGGAAAAGATTACAATCCTTTAATCAGAGATAGTATGGAATAATGATGAAAATAGGTACCTCAGGTTGTTCATTTGCCAATCGAGTTGTTCGTTGAAGTTGACAAGTTTGTTGCAAGGGTTTCGTCACAATCAAGATGATATCATCAGTGGGTTGTTGAGTAGCGTGTAGAAGTTAGTGCAGCTTAGAGAAGCCTCGGTGAGAATGCGTCGGGTAAAGTGCACGTGCGCTTCTATATGTTCCCATGTTTCGTGGCGGAGATGAGCAATACTATTGACTTGGACATTAGTTCGTGTTCAGCATGTTGGACAACTAATTGACCTTTAATCATGACCTCTCAGACTTGTGCATAGTAAAATTTGGTTGTTAACACCAGGGCTCAATTATGTTGCCCGCCACGCGAAGTGAAACGATTGGCACTCCGATTTCCACAGAATGAAGATTTTGTAATTCTATCAGCGGATAAAGGACTTATGGTCGGGATACTGGATAAACCAGAGTACGTTAGTTAGGCCAAAGTACTGCTGTCAGACACAACTACATATCGTCTAATCGATCAAGGTCCCAACTCGAAGCTGGTCAACCAGATCAAGGTAACTGTGAAGCCACAGGCAATAAATGAGATCACCAGCCTACAGCGATGGGCAATGCAAGCCGACGATACAAACATTGCGCAGTTCTATGGACTACCCAAAGTGCATAAAGAGAAATTCCCCCTCCAACAAATCGTCTCAATTCCCGGAACCCATGGTACAAATTAGCAAAGAATACTTGGAGGAGGTTGAAATACCGGATTGCAGGATTCGAACCTAGCATCAACACGGCGGAATAATTCCACGACAGGTTGTAAGGTGTTAAGATGGAAGACGACGAAATTATGCCCTCATTTGACGTCATTGCACTCTTCACTGCGATCCGCTACCAACTAGCTAAAGAAACCAGATTGGAAGTACTTCAGATTCAACCCAGCACAACCATAAGCATCAAACCGAAGAGTTAGTAGGGAACTTTTGGACCTCTGTCTGACAACTTCTTTCCGCTTTAATGGACAGGTATACCAGTAGCTGGATGGAACGCCAATGTGATCCCCAATATCGGAAATTATTGCCGAGACCATCATGCGGAAACTGGAGCTCATTGCACTCTCATCCATCTGCTCAAAACTTTGGATCCGGTAAGTGGTACGCAAGCTTGTCATTATAAAACGACACAAAGTACAAATGGTGCACGAGTTGCGCGACAACGCATCCGATTATATCAGATTTAGAATCGCGTTAAATAATGACGTATCGTCATTTTCGCATGTATTGTCTGATATGAACACCGACGAGGCACTGCAAGCATGCACATATGGAAAGAACACGCATACAGATCAGATATTAAGCTTCTACAGCAACCATACCATGAATCACAAAATAAGCTGCGTTCAAAGCGTAATCAAAAGAGCGGAAATACTGCAGTACAACTGCATTGTGTAGACTAGAAGAAAATCACGGGAAAATACAGCTACAGGCCTGATCCATGCAACAGTGAGCAATGTACACCGTACCTACACGTTTCGAGGTTTATTGCTATGAAGTACAAACGCAATTTAGTGCCTTGTTTGTAATACCGGGCCACCAAAATTTCTAGTCCTGGAACACTCGCGGATGAGAAGGACCGAATTGTCGAAACGCTTCTTTCGGATAGTTACCCTGAATATTTCATCAACAAGCACGCTATGACCCCTGAGAGCCAAATGTCCATAGCAACGGGTTCGAAGAAGAATGTTTCTCTCTGTTGCTTTTCACGGCAGATATCGCCTTTGACATCCTGAACAAGAGACTTTCTAACGCCTTAGCAAGGACATACTCGGCCGCCTACCCGCAAGTACTTGCGAAGACCACACCCTTTATAGCTCAACGTATCAAAGACCAACTGCCAGTGTGGTCCGAATCGTACATTGTTTACCAATTTACTTGCACCTGTGGTGTCAAGTATCTCGAACATACGATCAGGCGTCTATCGATAACGATGGCTAAGCACTCTACAGGGTCACTGCGGAAAGGCACGCTCAGTAGTATCAACAGTTCGAGCTTGAAACTTCCGCTTCAAAGTGGACATCAGACTTTGACCAAAGATGCCTTCCAGGTCTATTATGCCCTACAGAGGCGATACTCGAAATGATTAAGGAAGCATCCTTTGCAAAAGGTTGAGGCCATCGCGATTAGGCAAACACAGCCAGAGCTACGCAAGCATAGGGTGCTTGTGCAACCCCTGACTTTGCCATGGCCCTGATAAGAAATCGTGCCCCCGGACTATTATGCATAACCGGGTGATACTTATTTTGGTCCGTTGCTAAATTTAGAAAACAAGCTGTTTGAATTGCTTTCCGTTGTGCCAAGCGTCGCTCGCGGATCTCATTACCATAGTTTTCAGGGCATCAGCAGTGAACTATTTGGCTCTAAGTCGCACCCCAGCTCAGGCTATCTCTACTTGGCGAGTCCACACCAGGACGAAACCGTGGTCGTGGTGTGCCAGTGTTGGGTAGAGCAAAACCCAGATATTTACGTGGTGGGATGAAAGTAACCTTGGAATCCAAACTGATGGTAGCAAATGTAATCAAACGTTGGCACCAAATGTGTACCATGCTGCCATCCGAAATTCGTATGAAGACGAAATTCACCCGAACACAAACAGACAAAGGAACACTATGCAATCTGTTCATCTGTACAATCCCGTCACCATACAGTTTGCAAAGGGAGAGTGTCAAAACACGCCGACAGCTGAAGGAGGTTACGGTTATCATCTTGTTGCTGG